CGACAACATTGTTTTTGTCTATCTGACTATGTAAAAATGACGGTGTTTTTGACTGAGGTTATGGAGATGCAACTATCGTGTACCAATTGGCGGCGGTTATGCACAGTATTACATAACATGCATCACAGTGAGCCGGTTGAGGTTAGCGTGAAGAAGCTACCACTGAGTTGATATCCTTGTTTGGATGGCGTGCAAGTGATAGGCCATTGAGTGTTTAGAGTGGTCTTGTTTGGCATGTTAATCTTAGTTGGTCCATATGTTATTATCATTTCTTCTTTTGGCCAGATCAAACTCGGATCTCTTTGTAATAAACAATGTAATAAGGTTGGTCTTATGATGCAGAGTATGGTAGTGATAGAAGTTTCATTATTAATTATTTTTACCTGTAGAGGACCTTAGCAATCCAGACATCTGTGTTGCCTCCGTACTGATCCAGATACATCCTTGTTTCAATTCGTGACAAACTTGCTTTCCAGGGAAAGTTCAGTGTGTACTCGACCTGAATTTACAGGAGGAATGGCTCATCAATCTGTTGTGAATTAAGGGCATTAAATAGTAGCCCGATTGATGCATACATATATATAATTAACTGGAATTTGTTGGAACATACTACCTCGCCCGGCAGGTCCTTGGTAATGATCCACTTGTCGTGCAGTTTGTTGGAGGCTTGTCTCTCTTGGAGGAATGCACGACAATAGCGCCCGGCCCGTGCCAGGACGTCGTCGTCACCAGGGAACATGAACTGCGAAGCACGGTAAGTGTTGTACATCGGGGTGACAGATGCGTGGTTGGTCTCCATGGGGAAACAGAAGAAATTGCCATCCTTGGTCTCAAAGTGCTTAAACACGGCTACATTGTAGATCGATGTGCGTTAGTCTGTCAAACTCGATCCAGCATAACATATATAGTAGCCATGCATGCCAAAGCGCTACTACTTATTAGTTACATGGAGTGACATCGTAGCCATGCTGACGGAGGAGACGGAAACCCATGGACGTATCATCAATATCCACGACTTGACAGTACGCGTTATGAGCTAGTCCCTTCTGAGTCCAGCGCCTGTTCAAAGTGTATACATTCCTCTCAATCTGGTCTACTCGTCTTAAAGAAAAAACACTACTCTGGTAGTACTCCATTTAAAAATATCATTAACATTTAGACTTTTAGGACATATTATATTTCCAACTAAATTAAAGTAATTTATGTTACCTGTAAATAAACTCTAAGCACCGCTGAATTTCAATTGTGAAGTGCCTTGATATCCCCAGACGAATGAGCCGGTCGACCATCCATAACTGCTCAAAAGTATCCATAGAGTGGCTACATGGCACTGAGAAAACAAATAATTTACGTGAATGGTGACGTTTTGTATTGACCAACATACAAAGGGGCTCTCCTACCTAAGAGTGCATTCCTGTTGGTTGTACAAGAAAATAAGTGGTAGTGATTTTACCTCCCCCCTTGAACTTTTTGACAAGCCTATCTAGAAATGCTAGGCATTCCTTGTCGCCAGTGTAACTAAGGGCAGCAGCTGTGGCAGCAGGCGAGGAATGGAAGGATCCGTCTGGACAACGCAACGTGAGTAGCTTTTCCCAGTCCAATGGTAAGTCAACCATTCCCTCCAAACTGAAAAGTAGGGTCGTTGGTATGGCGTGTAGCACATCCAGAGGTATCCTACAATTTGAGAGCCGGATTAATTATTACTTAACTAATTATACATAGACTATTCAGTTCAATGTACAAATCCAGATTTATCACATGCATGTAGCTAGGTATACATACTTAGAGAGCTTCAGATTCCTCTTGGCATATATCTCTTCCAAAACAGTGTGATTGTAAGGGATGTCCAAGTCCAGGTCCTTCGCCTTCTCTAGGAGTGCTGGGAAGTTAATCTCGAAGCCACATGGCATCCAGTCCTGTTCCTCTTCTAGCAACCTGCTCATATTTTCTTTGATAAATAACACACCTATACACCAGAAAAGGTGCACTCTACATTAGATACATGATCCTTCCTTGGAAGTAAACAAAGTATATCGCTGAATAAAATAAAGAATGAAGTGATCAATCAATTTACCTCTGTTGCACAAGTTGTCATTTCCAATGTTCCAAGACTTCGCAGCCACCACACATGCGAGGGTGCTGATCATCCGATCTTGGACCATAAAGAAAGCGGGATCACCCCACGAACCATCTGGTAGTTGATTTTGAACAATCCAATCGATGCACGAGGGGAATTGCGGTCCATCGCCTCCGTCAAGGTTCTTGACAAGAGCAACCAACGCCGTATCATAGGCTGAAACATTCATTGACGTCTCATCATCACCCAATGACCCTAGTGTGGTTCTAATGGCATCGATCATCTGTTCCATCTCGCTTGGTTCATCCTTTAGGAAGGTTTTGATTTATTTGTCAGGGTTTAATATGTATGTTTGCCAGCTCATGTGCAATAGTTATTATTCTGATCAATACGAGTTATGCATATATGCTCACCTTGTGTGTTCTCCATTCACGCAATTCTGCCTCCGGATATGATGGGGATTTGCTACTTAGCAGGAGTACTAAATGCCAGGCATGAGAAGTGGAAAAGAACATGTAAGTCATATTAAATTTATACCCTCTTAACATTTTGAACTCATTTATGAGAACCTGGCAGTTAACTTTTAGATTCCAATTTCTACTCAGACGTTCAATCAATATAATGAACTAAGAGATTTAATACTCCAAAAATGCAATACCCAAGGCATGTATTAATGGACATTCCTAAAAATGTATAGATGGATCAAAGGATAACAAATGACTCATACCATCGTTAAGTGGCTCTAGAATAGTGCCAACAGACTTAAACATAAATTATTTTTCTAGCTCCATGACAGGGTTCAAACAAAAAAAAACTACTAAAAATGCCAGCATCTTGTTATTATGATTGTAATTTTAGCACTAAAAGCTGCGAGAAAACTTCCATACGTCTGTATTGGGACTGCATCTTTGCTCAAGCATCTTGGTATGAGATTGTAGAGAATAAAAATAGTGGTATATCAACCTATGATGAAATCATTTTTACCTCTTTAGAATTGGCATGGACATAGTCATTTTAGGCTGCTGGAATATTTAGAATCTAAGGAACAACAAAATCTTTTGAAAATGAAGTGCCAGTGTTAACAGTTGAAAATTCCCCCTAAAGCAAAATCTAATACTTTTGGGGCATCTAGTGAAGCACAAGTACACTGCAATTCTTCAGAATTGGATTGCCCAAAATAGTCATTGGATAGGCTTTATTTATTTATTTATTTTTCCTTTCTGTCTGTACATATGTAACTTACTTTATATTAATAGGAAAATACATAGGGCGTAGAAGAAAGTTGAACTCATGCACATTATCACTATTATATGCTGCATGGAAAATATGCCAGCCAACTAAAACCTCTAGATCAACATCAATTAAAACGTTAGGTGGACAGGAGAGAATATTCATAGAAGAATCTATGTATTATGTCATAGCATGTAAACAATGTGGGCTGCTCTGGATTGAGTTCCCTACTTGCCAATTATCCATTGGTCTATGTGTTTCTTTTGCATTAAGTTTAATCATGTATGTATAATTTGAACCCACAACATGATTAATGGATTGGGTTATTAAGGCTATGTGGATGAATGTTGTAGCTTGTATACCTTTTTTTTCAATAATATACTGATCTTACTTGTGAAGTGAAACTAATACCATTTTGTGATTACTGTGTTCTCTGGGCAGACTGAAATCCCTAACTTTACCATTCTTTCCAGAATAGGAAGTTCGTGAAAGAATTTTCTTGTTTTTCGTTGAAAATACCAACCTTAACCACACAACCTGGGTTGGGACTACCCCCATCCCTAGAGGAGCGTACGGTTTTGAAGCTCCTATTCCAACATGAACGGAAACAAAATCGTTGAATTTTGCTATTTGTTTCCCCAAAGGGGTAATTGAAGAATTAGAAAAAGATGCGATTATATATTAAAAGTTCATGATGTGCTAACGAGAAAAGTGGGCAATAGGGTAGAAAATCTCACAAAAATCAGGAAGATCTGATTGGTGTTTTTATACATTGGAAAACGACAACCATTTTGTGTTGCTATACGCATTTGCCATGAAACCTAGTTTTTTTTGAGGGGTTGCCATGAAACCTAGTTTTTTTGAGGGGTTGCCATGAAACCTAGTGAAGAAATGACAATAATTCTTTAGTGGTCCGGAATAACAATTTAATGATTAGCACTGCAAGTCAGCCCAATTCCCGTTTTAATGCTATACTTAGTCAAGTGCTTTTGTTGAGTTTTTCAGTTCTCATGTTCTTTATTAGACCTAAAATACCTCATACATGTGCAACATGATTCTGATAAGGTTTAGTCCACGTCAAGAGTAATCAAGAAATTGTGTTCTCCATGATCATTTATGTTTGAAGGTAGCCTATAGTTATAGTGGTTTTCTTTGCTTATTCATCGAATCAGAAGGAAAGAGGCTTGCAAAGTAGCTTTTTGTAGGTGAATAATTCCAAAGTTATAAATAGCAGGCCATGAAAAATAGTGACAGAAGCATTAGCGCACTAAATTGCAGCTATAGTGCGCTAAATTTTGCTGTAGCACGCTAAATAGCACTAAAAGGCTTACCAGGATATCACACTATTTAGAACTTTGAACTTCAAAGATTCTAAGGTTAGGATACCTATACCATGGTAAAGAAACTTCAAAACTCGAGAAAAATTTCACAGTTACTTATTCGTTGGCGCAGAACGTGTTTGGCATTAACAAATTTGGATATTGAACTTACTAAAGGAAATAAAAAATGTGATCGGCTTTGTTACTCGCATGCTAATAAGCTAATTTTTTAACTAATGACAAAATTATGTTTGGCCTTAGAATTATATATGTCACGTACAATATGTTCAATATGTTTCCATTCTTACAATTAAATAAAGACATTATATTGTTGTTTGAGTTTTAAACAACATCATATTAAAAGATAAAACAGACACATATATGCTTCCTAATTTCTATATTATGGAAAGTCTCTCTAGAAAGCAAGCTCACTGGATTGCAATAAATAATTTATATAAAATATATATCCACCACAGAGGAGCCCGCCTATTTGCGCAAGCCGCTGTACTAGTTCAAACATTTTTTAAGAGAATGTGAGCCAGAAATAATAATGTTATTTCGGGAGTACTCAAGTTTTTTGATAACCATGCATGCATTCAGGTGTGGATATTGATAGATCATGATTACCACATTGTTGACGCTGAGAGTGTAAGTG